GGATTTTAATAATCTTATAATAAAATATATTTATACATATTCATAAAAAAAAATATATATATATATATATCGCTTAATACATATATATTATCTACTTTGATTTTTAAAAATTGTTTTTTTTTTAATTTTTTTGTTTAAAATCATTTCTTTATCGATTACAGTCATTTTAGGTAACTTTGAATTTGCGTGTGACATTGAATAAAACGTGTAAATGTTTTTAAATTTTTTTTTCTTTGGTATTTTCTTTGCCTGTTGCTTTAACAAAGGATAATATGATAAATTATCCTTTTTTACAAAAGTTTGACGATAGATAATTGAATTTTGTTTCGCAAAAATATTTTTTCCCTCGATTTCCAGCTACACAGTCGAATGTGGTGTAATATCGTGTATTACCAATTTAGAATATTTGTTACTATATTGTAAATATCAGAATAGATTTTTTAGTATTTTATTGAACTATTTTTCGAATTTTAATAAAAGCGAGAGAAAAATACGAGAGGGAAGCACAAATAGCCGCTGCCAAGGCTAATAAAGTCCTCGGGACATTGAAAAACACGTTTATAAGCAGAGATACCAAAATATGGAAAAAATTTTACACCACATATATACGCCCACATCTCGAGTTTGCAGTTACTGCCTGGTGCCCGCATCTTGAAAAAGACATAAATGTCATAGAACGTGTTCAGCATCGGGTTACCAAAGTACCACACGAAATAAAGCGCTTCAATTACGAGACAAGATGCATCAAACTCGGTCTCACCTCTCTATCAAATAGACGTTTACGCGGCGACCTCATTCAAAAATATAAATTCAAAAACAATATCGACTCAATTAGCTGGCATATAGATCCATCTAACATCCCACCTAGCTACGGTCATCGCAAACGTTTTCATCGTGAAATGGACAACAACTGCCTCGTTCGCCATAATTCCTTCAACAACCGCGTCGCTCACCCATGGAACGCATTACCTAACGTAGTAGTCAGTGCTCCCAGTGTTGATCGCTTCAAAGCAAAATTCGATCAGCTTTAATAATTACTACAGCGCATCATCTTCCGTGCAATTTCGCACAAGCTAGCACGGCTAGCTGTTGATGGGCTTACGGAACACGCCCGCTCCGTGTAATTTAACTTTTAACTTTAACTAACTTAACTAATATCAAAATAATTGGAAATAACATGTTTTTTGCTACTAAAAGAATATTTATTTTTATTTAGCTAAAATATAACCCAAATCAGGGTAACTTTGAATAATCAATGTTTCCTAAAAGTGCTTTTTTTGCTGTCTGAGTAACATTGCAATAATGTATAATAAATATAATAGACATCTTTTTATTATAGTATTTTTATTATGTAATAATATATATATATACAAATATATATTATATATATATATATATATATATATATATATATATATATATATATATATATATATATATATACATATATATATATATATATATATATATATATATATATATATATATATGTATATATATATATATATATATATATATATATATATATATATATATATATATATATATATATATATATATATATATATTTATATATATGTATGTATATATATATGTATATATATATATATATATATATATATATATATATATATATATATATATATATATATATATATATATATATATATATATATATATATATATAATATATATATAATATAATTATATTTAGATGAATAAAAACAACTGATTAGCGGGACTTAAAGTTTCATGCCCGAAGGCAATCATCAGCCGTTAATACAAACCTTTTTTTGTATTAATTTTCTGTTAACGTTTGTATTAATGCCTTCGGGCATGAAACTTTAAGTCCCGCTAATCAGTTGTTTTTATTCATCTAAATATAATTATATATAGCTCTATTATTCAGTAATATTGAGCACTGTAACACGTACAAGAGACTTCGTATTATTACATCAAAATACTTAACCTCGAATATATTCTATATATCGAAATCTATACAAATATATATATATATATATATATATATATATATAATATATATATATATATATATATATATATATATATATATATATATATTAGACATCTTTTTATTATAGTATTTTTATTATGTAATAATATATATATATATAAATAAATAATATATATTATATATATATATATATATATATATATATATATATATATATATATATATATATATATATATATATATATATATATAATATATATATATATATATATATATATATATATATATATATATATATATATATATATATATATATATATATATGTATATAATATATATTATTTATTTATATATATATATATATATATATTATTACATAATAAAAATACTATAATAAAAAGATGTCTAATATATATATATATATATATATATATATATATATATATATATATTTATATATATATATATATATATATATATATATATATATATATATATATATATATATATATATATATATATATATATATATATATATATTATATATATTTTAATAAATATGGCTTTTTTGATAGTTTTAAAAACTTAATATATCAATAGCAAATATGCGATTAATTAAATAATTTTCATTAATAACAGCAATTATCTCTATATTTTTAGCATTCTTAAAATGCCAAGAAAAAGTTTGACAACTCATCCTGGCACTAGAAAATATGGCACAATATCTAATTACTCAAATGCTACACTTCAAGAGGCATTAGCCAAAATTAAATTAGAAAACAAGTCGAATTTTTAAAGTACCTAAAACAACATTATTTTATAAGCTAAAAAGTAAACACTGTAAATCAGTAGGGCGCCCTATTGCTCTTAACATTGATGAGGAACTTTTTTTTGAAAATCATTTACTTTATTTAAGTGACAAAGATATACCAATTAGAATTAATGATTTTAAAAGTATTGTCAGATACTCTCGATGATAGTGGAAAAGATATACAACAGTTTAAAGATAACCGACCAATTTGGGAGTGGTGTAGACTATATCTTGACAGACATCCATCATTAAAAGAAAAAGTATCTTATTGTATTTCAAAGAAACGTGCACAGATTAATTATTGTCAAATAGAATTATTTTTTCAAAATCTAGAGAAGGAATTAAATGGAGTAACGCCAGATAACATTTATAATATGGATGAAACAGGGTTTCATGACGACCCTGGAAAAAAAAAACTTATTTTTTGTCGATTTTCTTGCCACCCAGAACTTATTAGAAACAATACAAAATCTTGTTACACTGTTGTTTTTTGTGGAAATGCCTCAGGAAAGCTAATTCCACCATTTGTCATTTTTAAAGGAAAACACAGTTGGTCTGACTGGCTTTTTAATGCACCAGAAGGATCAAGAATGGGAACTTCTTGCAGTGGATAGATGGAAATTCAAATATTTGAAGAGTGGCTGTTAGATCACTTTGTTCCAAATATTATAAATAAGGAAGGTAAACAAATTCTGATTTGTGATAATTTAAGTGCTCATATATCTTTAAAAGCCTTAAATATATGTGAAAAGCATAATATAACCTTTATATGTTTGAAGCAAGCAAAAAATTCAAGTTACCAATAACAGCAGGGAAAAGTGTATCAGCCACTGAGGTAGAAGCATACTATAAGTTAAGGGACAATAAGAAAAAAAATCAAGATAATATTCGAACAAAGAAAAGAGGAAGACCACTTGGATCAAAATATATAATTATGAAAATAAACAAAACAAATGTTTAACAAAGTACAAGCATTGTAGATGTTATTCAAGCTATTAAAGACAAAGAGCAAGTCGTATCTCAAAATGATGCAGTTTCTTCATTAGAGCAAATAAACAATCACAACTTGTTTTCCATGATCATGTTTATTCGATTAAAGAGTTGGTTGTGACTCAAGACTAAAATAATGGACTTATACACTGTAATAGTTAATTTTATAGTCAGTTGTTTATTTGAGTAGAATTATATAGATGTCTTAAATATATTTTTTTCGTAACCTTAAAAATTGATTAACAATTCATTTTATGATTTGCAATATTTTGTTGAAAATTTTTGTTTATTCTCATTATAGCCTAATTGGATTTTTTTAAAATTAATTTGAGCTAATACAACAAAATTTAATCAACTTTTTAACTGATTTAACTGATTAAAATTGATATTTAATTCGATAGTGTTCAATGTTACCCTAAATGCAAGTATAACTTTGAACCCCTGATTGAACTTTGTTTTCTAACAAAATAACTAGCAATTTTAATAAAATGATAACAGACTAGAAAATAGAGATCAGAACACCTTTATGTAAAAATATTACACCTTATGTAAAAATATTTAACTAGTTTGAAAAAAAATTGTCGAGACATAGTGCAAAGCGTTTAAAGTTACCCAGAATGAATGAACGCGTAAGGTGTTTTAATTTTTCAAACGGTACTTATATAGTTCTTGGCAAACTACACCGCCATCTTGGTAAGCCAAAACTGGCATCAAAAATTTTCCCGAATGCGCTATCCAGTTATTATTTTGATATCAGTGAATATTACTAAGCTAAACGCAAATGTTCGTCACAAATCTTTTTAAATTAGTACAAATTAAAACTTTCAGAACCAACAAATCATATTCACAGCTGTGACTTTGTCAAACTTTACTACCATGACTGAAGATAAAAAATTAAAGCAACCAACCGTTGCGATCTTATTTTCCTTTAAACATATTTTTAACACACGGCTTTGACAGGTAAATAAGGTGGTTATATATAACTGGGGGTGGGGTTATGGTACAATATGTTCTGTTAACACCCTTATGCAAGTTTGACACGTGCCGAAATATAAGTTGCACTTATGCTAAAGTTTGCTAATTTTCTCCTGCCAATTTGCACTTAGCCTCCTAATAAAACTTCTGGAAGAATCCAAAAATCTAATATCGGATAGCTGGTACTTTTCATCCGTACAAGTTAAATCAATAATGCCTTTCATTGTAAGGAAATAAAGAACAACTCTGTTAAGCATATCATTTATTTGCTCATAATCGATAAATACTTAGAGGTTGTAATTCCTAAAAAAAAAGAAAAAAGAATTTATTTAAAATTAAACAACTTAAACAGTATTTAGTACTTAAACATTAACAAGATGAAAACAAAAATCTTACTTCGAAATAATACCGTCTTTCATGCACAAATTAATCAATGCATCATCAGATTCACCCTACATATAAGTAAATAACCAAAAACATTTTTTTAACTAATCATCAAAACTCATTATAGATAATAAATAATTAGTGTTAAAATTAAAACTTGCTACAACTTAATTTCATAACTTCATTTGTTCATTTTTCATAATTTGGTTTTGAAACCATAAGAGTGGTGCATGAACTATTTAATCATAAGTCATAATCTAATAATACTATTAATCAAACCATTTAATCAAAAGATTAAATTTCAGCTATAAAACTTTAATTCAACATTTAAAGTGTTTAGTGATCAAATAAAAATTGTGGAATACCATGAAAGAAAAGTACCCAACTTGCTCAGTTTTAAAAAGCTCGATTAAAATCAACAGTTAAGTTCAGAACTTTATAAATCATCATTGCACTACTATTCCACTAAAGATAGAAATATTTAAATAGCATCATATGTTCATTATTCAACATTTAGTATTTAAACCATATGAGTGGTGCATGAACTATTTAATCATTAGCAAGTAAAAAACTATTTTTTTGTGTTATAGAACTAAAGTAATTCTTAATTTTTTGTTAAGTATAAGAAAAGAATAATAAAATGATATAAGATAAATATGTTTTTGCACACTTAAGTCCTATAACACAATTAACAGTCAAACACTATACACATTACTAATTATAGCGCTCAGTTTTAAAAAGCTCGACTAAAATCAACAAAAAGATTCTGATCATCAAATCATCATTGCACTATTTATAAATTAGGAAAAAAAATTTTTATTTTTATATGAAATGACTTGATTATTATTATTAGCAAATATAAAATTACTTACAGCACTACGAACTTTTCCACAAAAAGCAAATGTTTTGGAGGAACCTGTCATACGCCCTTCATTGTCTACCTGTAATTAGAAATTAGAAGGAAATCCTTAAATACCACAAAAAAATTTCGAATTATAACTAAAAATCTGCAAACATCCAAATAAAAATAATTTAAAAAATAAAAATAATTGACATATCAAAAAAATAAATCAAGTAACCTCTGCTATTGAAATTTGAACTGATGCATGATCTTTTGCTGATATTATATTATTTGTTGCAGAGCTAAATAAAAAAACATTAAAAACAAAATTTTAACAAATAATAAACACTAAAAAATATTATTTAAAGTTTTTTAAATATTTATCTTTTATACAAATTTCTCATAAAATTTTAGTATAAACATTCTTTTTAAAATTTTATTAAATAATAAATAATTAATATAGATTTAAAGTTGTAAATGTTGTAGGTAATATGTTAAGATACATTCTTTTTTTTTACTTCATGATTTTTAATTATTAATTTTTTTTTAAAATTTGTAAAATTAATTACTGCTAATTTAGAATACTAGCCACTAAAATTTAAGTTTAATTTTTATAATCATAGTGAGTAATAAAAATAAAGAAATTCTACTGATTTTTGTTAGTAACTTAAAGTATTCAGGCACTAGCAAGAATAAAGGTGCATTAAATTAACAAGAATAGACAAATGAATTTAAAGTAACATTTTTCTAGCAGTATAAAGCTGATTGTGGAAAAGATCACTTCTAACAAGATTAATTTCAACAGACATAATGCTGAGTAATCTAAACTTATATTAGCAGATATATATTTATTGCTAATGCATTAACTAAAAATATATATCGAAAACAAGCACAAAAAAACAAGTCATAAGCTTAGCATATAAATTAAATACAAAGTGCTTAATTTTTTAAGTCATGTTTCAGCATATGAAATAATCAACAATCAAAGAAACCATCAATAGAAGTCAATGTATTTATATACATTTTGCTGTGAAAAAGCAAGCCAACACAATTTCCTAATTTAGGATATTAGACAGCATTTACTAAACAACATAAAATTTAGTAGCTATTAATACAATTCTTACAATCTTGCAGGTTACTAAATAGTTTAAAGATACAGTAGTAACAACTTAGGATGCTGCGAATTGAAGCAATTAGTAAAAATCACAATACGGTGATACTATAATGCAACTTATAAGCATTTGTAACAACTGTGATCCATTTGCATATTTATTATAGTTTTCTATATTTTACTTTTAAGCCTTGAAAATCTTAAACAAACATCTATTGAGAACTTAAACATTACAAAATAAGTTAAAATATTATCCTACAAGTTAATAGCAGAATTTTGATGTTTCTTTTAAATGCCTAACTTTTTATTTAATACTAATTCATAAGCATTTGTAGTAAAAACTTGTCAATAATGCAACCTCTTAATTTCTATTGATACACTTTTAATTGATAATACTACCTTACTGACTAATTAAATTTGATTATTAATCATTAGTGTTTAATAGTTGCACATAGATCCAGTCACAATCACATTAGAATTGTTGAATTTGATTTACATTTCTTAATTGGTTTGCTTACTTAAGAGTAATAACATAGGTCAATAGGACAATAATGGTTTTCAGTATTGTAATGAAAACCATTATTGCCCAATACGACATTTTAAAATTTTACATATCCACCTAAGGATGCTGAAATATTTGATAACTTTAAGTGTTCAGAAATAAAATTCAGAATTGAAAATATAATTGAATAAATCAATATAGCTAAAAAATAGTAATAGGCATACCATTTTCTTGGAATGTAAATATCAACTACCTCACCAGCGTCGTTCTGCATGATCTTTCTAAAACTGAAAGAATTCTATTATTAAAAAGCAAAAAAAAAAAAATGTATGGAATCAAAAATTAAAATTTTTTTTTTAAAGATTAATACTTTTATATATAATTTTAGCAGTAATTGTGAGTGTCAAGTGCCCAAATTATTAGAGTAAGGCAAAGATTATATATACTTTAAATTTAAAGTATTTTGTAAAAATTAAAATTAAAAGAATACTGCTTTAATTAGGACTTATAAAGATCATTGTAATTTTCGTCGTTTATGATTTTTAGATCAACCGTTTTATTAATTATTATTAAAATGATATAAGGCTTTAGAAAAAAACAACGCGACTGGTGTAAAGAAACCAATCTATACTTGTCGTTATATGAATTGAAATTGTAATTGACAATTGTATATGAAATCAACTTTTAAGTATAGCGCATAGTCGAAACTTATTTGTTTTGCCGAACCGTGTAAAGAGTTAAATATTAGGACTATGAATTTACATTTTACTCTATCTATTAAAAAAGAAATCATTACTGAATCTCCTTTGACTTCTTGGAACCAATCGAGTTTTCGCTTATTTCTCAACTTAAACATAACCTTTAAACTTAGGTACAATCATTAAAAACTTATAATATCATATATGCCATCGTATTGAGCAAATTTGTCATTAATACTATTTCTAACGCAAATAGCACATGCGATGCATTAATATTTTCACTTAGTATACTACATACCAATGATTGACGACCTTTGCTGAATTGTGCTAGCGAGTAAAGAGTCAGTAGAGGAATAGTGCGTGTTTAACAAGTAAAATGCAGAACAACTTATTGCATGAAATATAAAATGTAAGAAGTAATAACAATTTTGATTAAATAATATTTACATTATATACTTAATTAGTAATACTATAAATTAAAATTTTTATTCTAAATGTATTATAAGTTTTATTTTCACATGAAAGTTTTTCGATATATTTTATAAGTTTATTTAAAAAAATGTTGCTTTTATTTTAATCTTATATGCTTTCCCGCTTGTTTTATTCCGCCAATTAACTAGGGGCAGGCTTGTTTATGAAAAGATGAACTATCAGGGTAAAAATAATCAAATTAATGAAATAAAATTCTTTTTTTTGTTTTTTTTGGTTTTTTTTAAGAAAAAAAAATACTATGTGAATATAGATATATTTATCTGCTCTTTATAGTGTAGTTCCTCAGAAAAGCAACTAAGCTCTGAATATATTTTAGCATGGTATAGTTGAATACAAAAACAGTTTATAAATTATAAAAAAAAATGAATACAGAAAAAGTTTATCAACTATGTTGTTTGTTAGATTAAACTTATCTACTTCTAAGTTAAATTTTCTGAGATTTTAAAACACAAAGATTTAAGAGCATTTTTTGAACTATTTTATAAAGAGTATTATAATATCGGACATTTTAATGATAACTTTTTCCACATTTTATTGTGATAGATGAAATCCTTGAAATTCAAGGTTATCATCCGTCACAATCATTTCCATTCAAGTTAAATGAAAATGATTGGCAACTTTGCCTTACTATGTTTAAAACAAAAAAAATAACTACTATAGTAGAGATTTTACCGTAAATATAAAAATATGAGGATAATTAAGTTTTTGTTTTTTACCAATCTAATTGATTCATGTTTGTGTTGTGTACATTTGAAGTCGACTGTGAGATTATGTTTCATACAATAGCATTGTAGAATTTTGAATGCACAGACAAGATGTAGATCTGATGATCAGGGTTACATCAAATCTACAACTATTATTTGTATTTACAAATATGTTATGATCCAATGCAAGTATGTTAATTCTAGATTTCCAAATTCAAATATGTTTTAACCATTTTAACCTATGCTTAAAAAAATAATGCAATTACACTTAAGAAAATTATACAAAAGAAACATTAAAATTAGATATTACTAGATATTAAAACTGATAAGGTTTATATTTTTATTGCAATGTTTCTATTTTTTTGTTTTAAAATTTTTAAATGTAAACATTAGCTCATATTATTTCCTGGATAACTTGCATATTAGTTTTATTTGTAATAATTAAAGATATTTGCAATTGTTTGCATAATTTATGCCTAATAGTTTACTACCATGAAATGCTAAATCATATTATAATTTATATTAAATGCTAAATCATATTATAAATTCTTAGGTTTGATTTTTTTGTTGCATCAATTGTGTTGTCTTAGGCAACTTTCCTTAAATTAATAAGAAAAAAAAAACTAAATACCTAAAAGTTTTTCACCATGTATAAACAAACATTATACCAGTTGCTAGCAATACATGCCTTAACAAACTTTTATAAACAAACTGTTTTTTATTTTTTATTAACAACTACTTTCGTTTTATTTATCACATCAACTTGATGTTGTTTATGATAACTTTTTAATATTTTTAATGCTTCAAATTTTTCTAAATGAATTTAATTTTTTTTTTTAGTTAATTTTAAGTTTCAATTTTGAAAATCAATTTAGTTTTATTTTTGAAATTAATTTAACTTTAAAGTTCAAAATTAATTTAATTTCAAATTTTAAAACTTCATCTAAATGATTTTATAATAGAATTTAACAGGTGGTTTATATATATAGTAGAATTACTTTCCATGTCTATTTATATGTTACCTTTGTAATAAAAAAAACATTCAGCTATAATAAACTTCACATTGATTGTCATTTCATGATAAATAATTTATAAAAATCATCTAAGTAATGTTTTTAAAAATATTTTATAACTTAACAATTCTAATATTTAAAGTTTGTTTGTCTTTTAGGTTTTCATGGAAATTACCAGGTATCTAAAGTTTCTTACTATTATCAAATTTGCTTATTTTTTAGATGTCTAAGTTAATTCTTTTTTATTATTGTTCCTGGAGTAATAATTATCAAGAGTTATCATTGTATGTGAGCTCTAGAAATTATTAATTATACATATATATAACAGCAATAACATTCTACTACTACATTTTAAAATGGAATTGTCATAAGTAGTATTTTTTTTACTAATAATAAGTATACATTATGTTCATTCTTTGTTGTGGCATTATCTCTAACTTTTCCTAAACCAATAAACTTACCATACAATAAAAAAATATAAAATATTATAAATATAATATAAATATTATACTAGACATTATAAGAAATAGATTTAAACAAAAAATGGTTTATAAAAGAAGTATATACAGAAAGTTTAAGATCTCTTATCTCTCTTAAAGATGAGGATGTAGTAACCACTTGATCATGATTTAATATGCCATATTCTGGACAATTATTTCTACCATTTTTTTTATAATAGAACATGTAGGTTAATTACCAAACTTTAAGAATAGTACAGAATTTGTACAACCACACAACTATCAGTTTTGTATCAGAATAGGTAAATGTAATGTCTGAGATTTCTCAGGGATCAATACTTGGCCCACTTTTATTTCTATTCTTCATTGACGATCTGCCTGATATTACCCATCAATAAAACTTTATGCTGATGACAAGATCATTACAGTTATTAAATCATCTGATGAATATGTAACATTACTAAATGATATTGATAAAGTCATTTGAATGGTCACAACTTTAACATTGAAAAATGTAAAGTTATGTTAGTTAAAAAAAATAATCAAACCGGATTTGCACAAGTTTCCACAAGTTTATATGGTGTTCGATTATTTTATTGTAGCAAAATCTGAACAAGATCTTAGAGTCTTGGTGCCTCATTACAAGTTATTGTAACAAAATCTGAACAATATCTTAGAGTCTTGGTGCCTCATTACAAGTTATTGTAACAAAATCTGAACAAGATCTTAGAGTCTTGGTGCCTCATTACAAGTTATTGTAACAAAATCTGAACAAGATCTTAGAGTCTTGGTGCCTCATTACAGGTTATTGTAACAAAATCTGAACAATATCTTAGAGTCATTGTCTCAACGTTATTATGTCCAAACTGCAGCTTCATTAGTAAACAGGTTTCTTGGTATTTAAAAAAAGCTCTTTGTAGCTGCAGTCTCGTCCTCTGGAAAATGTTTTATATAACGTCAGATCCTGAATTTGCAATGCAGTCCTGATCACCTCATCTCAAAGGAGATAATGCTATATTTGAACAAGCTCAATAGTGTGTAAAAAAAAAAATATTTTCAATTAAGCATCTAACTTATAAAACAAGACCCTTAAGCAATGCTATGTATGTAGAGGCCGTTATGTAGATTATTCAGCATTCAAATTTTAGCAGTCATCCTATGAATTGATATGCAGCTAGTTAAAAACTGTGATGAAAGATTTTTTTTATTTTTACATATATCGCATAGTTAGATCATGGAACAGACTATCAGGTTATTCCACTGATTCAACATCAGTTAAAAGTTAACTTTAAAAGTTAAATGCATAACTCCTAATCTGGACTCACATAGTGTTATAAATGTCAGTACTGAGAAGTCTGGTGTTGGTCATCAATATTCATAGTTTTCTTTACACAATAAATTTTTTGTACCTTTTAATTGTATTTTAAACTATTAAAATAAATTTAAAATCACTTGTTATTTGTTTTATTGTTATACTTGTTATTTGTGAATTATTTATATTGATTTCTAAATAAACAATCTCAAATTCATATAGCTTCTTTATTATTATTTTATAGTTATGATTAGTTAGAATTAGATTTTCATTTAATTATTTTTCAGCAGTTTCAAATAGTTTTACTTGAATTTTGGAATTAAAAAGTTTGACTACAGCCCTCGGAAATAAGAAAAATGAGTTAAAAATTTAAATGTACTAGTTAGAAACTTAAATTAACTGTTGAGGTTGGCATCAGGTCATCAAAAATAAATTTGACACAAATGGGTTACCACAAAATATAGAAATGAGGTCAGCAATTTTTTGTTGACCTTAAACACTTTTAGGTTAGTAGTAAGATCAGTGTTGCCAAATGCTGACCCTTATTCCAAGGGCTGTGACTATTAAAGCTTTAAAAATTAAATATTTAAACTATAATACTTAATATGGTTGTTTTGTTTACTCAAGCATTACAGAGTTTATTATTATTATTATTATTTTTATGTATTCTTGTTTGCATATTTTGTTATATTTGTATAATTAATTGTATAAATTTTGCTTTAAAGGGTGGTGATGGTGGTTTTATGAGCCCTGGTGTTGGATCACCTGCAATAGACAGTTCACAAAAAAAGGTTTTATTAGTACTTTGATTGTTATGATAAGAAAAAATTCATAAAAAATTTGTTGATGATTTAATTTTCTGGAAAATTTTTTATGAAGTTTAAGTAAAGTTGTAAGCAATTAACAATCAATTTACATTATTGATTTTAAAATAACTTTCATTGTCAAAATTCATGTATTAGAGCTATATAGTTGAGAGAGAGTTTCACAGTTGAATATGAAAATTGTTTTAAAAAATATAAAGCACCATAGAGTTTAAAATTAGTGACCGGCGTAGTCAACTTTTTAAGACTCGAAGTTATATGAAAGACGACTTTAGATTAAATGCATATACCAAATTTAACTGAAAGACGAATTTGAATTTTAAAAACACATTTAATTAAAAAATAAAATTTTTTTAAGATTCTTTTAAGTATTAAAAAATTATTTTATTTTATTTTTTTTTTCTTTAAATGTTCCGAGAAGATCTAACAGTTTTTCCACGGAGTACATCAGAAAAGTATTAAACTAGAAAGTTTAAGCCTTTTTTCTTACTGATGGTGCAAAATATGCCTAGAGCTTGCTTCAAATCCTAGTTCTTACTAGGATTCGAAGCAAATTAGTTTAGTTAAAAAAATAATAACTTTAGTTTAGTTAAAAAATCATTATACAGTGGTTGCTGTATAATCATTTTTTATTAACTAAAGTTATTATTTTTTAGCTTGTAATTAACCATAATTCAAAACTTAATATAGAACATAAATATATAGAACATATAGTAAGTAAATTATAATTTGTTAAAAAAGTATACGCTTACAAAAAACAATATTCGTCAAAATAAAAAATCTAAAAATTCAGTTATAATGAAAGTTTAAGTTATGGAATCTTTACAACTCTTTATGCTTTTGAACGAGCATGAACAATTTTTTATTTTGTTTTTACCCAATTCATGTTCCCAAAGTTGAATGGGCCACTTTAGTCGAGGAAGCTACTTTTTATGTTGGTTACAACTCTCCCAACTCTGAAAGAGGGTTGTAATGAATAAAAACAGGTTGATTTATATAAAACATATAATATATTTTATAATTTTTTTTTGTAAATTGAAAAAAAACTTATAGCTTTTGAATTTAACTGAAATTTCTTTGGTGCCGAATTTCTATTTCAACTTCGGCACCGAAGTCAAAGATAACGTTGTAATCCAAATTTTAACAAATATTCGCCGGTCCCTATTTAAAATAGCATTATTTTAAACTCTATGGTTTACAATCACTTTCTGTGGTACAATCAGGTAGCATATTGTGTTGCAGGAAGTAATTGCGAACCATAAAACTGAGGTCACTTTTCACAATCAGGTAGCATATTGTGTTGCAGAAAGTAATTGCGAACCATAAAACTGAGGTCACTTTTAGTCAGACATTTCAAGAACATGTATATTGCCTATCTTTTCTGTAATGGTTAGGCAAGTATCCTAAAATTCTTAAAAAATTATTTAAAACTAGAGCAAAATGCAACTCCTAAGCTTTAGCAATTTCAAAAATGTATATCAAATATTAATGACATTGGTTGATATTTTGCTGGCTTTTTTTTATGATTAGCCATAATATTGGCTAGTCATAGCTACTTGGAATATGTTACTGAGATAGTAGTGGGTATATTAGTATACATTTTATTTAGCATGTAAGGGTGGTGTTGATTGCTTTTTGCAGGTTTACATTTGTTAAGCTCTTTAAGGTCAGCTTTTTTTTTACTCTAAAAATTTTTAATGTATAAAGTTTTAATAATATTTTTTAATCTTTTGGTCCAAAATATTTTACTGTTGTTTTTTAATTTAATCAACGGAAAACTAGTGAAACATATTTTACCCAATTAGAATAAATAAGAAATGGTAAATGTTTTTTTTATTAATTAAATTTTAAATATATATATATATATATATATATATATATATATATATATATATATATATATATATATATATATATATATATATATATATATATATATATATATATATTAAGAGGTTGTTTTTTATATAAAGTTTATTAAATAATTTAAGTTATATTTATAAGTGATTCTGGGGAAAAAAATTTTTTAATAATAAAAGTTTGAATAGATGCAAAAATTAAGTTAAAAATCAGCAAGAATTAAATGATGTGCTCATCAAAATATATAAATAATCAAAAAAAGTTTTATTTCTTGCAGTACTTTTGTTACACAATGTTGAATGCTTTCATTAGTAGAATTTTTTTATATAAGTATAATTTATAATTCTAAATAAGGACACCAATCAGGGATAGTAAATTCTAGAAGTGGATGTATATAAATTGTATATAGCCTTTTCTGGAATTTTGCATTTCTGGTTATCTTAGCTGCAGTAATAGATGTTTGGACATGGTACTTTAATTAATTAGAAATTAGAATGTCTAAATGTCTATTTTTGATGAGGTTGATTGAATTCAGATCAAATATGAATTGGTTATATTTGTTCTGATAAATCATTAATGAAAATAGTAAAAAGTGTTGAATTAACAATTGAGCTATAAAGAATGCCTCTGATTTTTAAAAATTATACAAAATAAACAAGTTTACTTTTTTATAATTTTTGGCATAATTAATTTTAGATGATTAAAAAACTGAAGGTTTTTAATAATTTATGTAATAGTAATAACTGAGGGTTAGAAATTTTTTTCTTTATTTGTTTTTAATACAAACAGGCAAAATAAAAATTTTATAAAAGAAGAGTTTTGGGTTTCCACCTTTCCATTTTCATTTGGGTTACCACCCTTCCATTTTCATTTCTGAATAAATAAAATTTTCTGCCTAATAAATAGAAATATTTATTTTTATCAATTTTTAAAATGGTTCTTTTTAACTGAAATTATTTATATTTTTCAATCTAGAAAAATAGATCACAAACTTTATTACCTATTACCGCCGCAATTTTTCACAAAGCAGAATATAATTCAACAGAAGATGTTTTTCGTCATGATGACATAGATATTCATCAAGTAAGTTTTTTTGCAGAACCAGTTAATATGAAATAAATTTCTTTCAAATTTTGAATAAAAATTATATTCTGCTTCAGGTTACTATAGTTGGTGTCATTCGTGAAGTCCAGGAAGCTGCTACAAATATTTCATATAAAATAGATGATATGACTGGTGATTTAGTTTCAGTTAGAAAGTGGATTGATGCAGAAGTATTAGCATATTTTAAATTTTTTAATTTTATTTTCAAAAATGTTCGTAATTGTTTAGGCTTTATTTTTAAAACAAATTTTTTCTGATTTTAAATACAAAAGAAATTCAAATTATTAAAGGAAGTAAGTTACAAGAAACCATAAAAAATTTTTAAGAGATTTTTAAAAGTGGTTTGCTATAATTTAAAAATCTTTTTTTTTAATAACATAATTACAATTTTTTACTTTGAATAAGGAAGGGAGGGGTACTAAATGGGATTGCAGAGAAGAATAAGTTAAAGTATTAGTTATTAGAATTATTGCATTGTTTTTTAAAATGTGAATGTTGTTTAGTGTTGCTGGCCTTATTTTAAAGCATTGACCCTTTGAAACAGTTTTTTTTTAATTCTTTTTATTTCATATTTGAGATTCATATTTGAGATTAAGTTTGTTGTTATATATGTATAAGTGTATATATATATATATATATATATATATATATATATATATATATATATATATATATATATATATATATATATTATATATACATATACATATACATATACATATACATATACATATACATATACATATACATATACATATACATATACATATACATATATATATATATATATATATATATATATATATATATATATATATATATATATATATATATATATCCCAGCCAGCCAGCAAGTCATATTGGACCCCAAATGGGTTGCCCACATCCCGCCCAAGGAAAATTGTCACTGGGTGTGAATTGGGGCCCATATGGGCTGCATATGTGGGACCCACTTTTTTTATTTATTTAAATTTTTTATAATATTTTGAATAATTATTTATTTTTAAATTAGATACATAATTTAATGTTGTCATAAATATATGACTTGAGTCTAGCTTTATAGAAGTAGTACAGGAAATCAAGTATAGGTATAGAATATAGGTATAAATATAGAAAAAGAAAAGGTATATATATAAAAATAAGTTTAAATAAAACAAAAATAGGTATAATATAAAAAAAAGGTACAAATATAAAAAAATATTTATAAAATATAGATATAAATATAGAAAAAGGTAAACAGTAATAAACATTAACAAATATAACAGTATTTAAATAATAAAATATAAAAAGTTATAGTCAATTAAAAAAAAGTATATTCAAACCTTAACTATTCATTGCAATACCTTTAAAAAGTTCTCTTCAGGACATGTCATTTTATTAACATTTTTGCTTGTGGGTTTTTAAAAATTTAAACAGCATATACACTTTCAAAAAAGTTTTTTCAGTCTTTTAAAACTGACTTTGTAACTTTTTTGTTTAAGTTCTATTTAATGTCTAAAGAAATAATTTTCAAATACAATTTAAAACTCTTTTACTACCACTAATACATGGCATTTATAGCACTAGAGTCTTTAAAATGATTTGACTTTAAATAAAAAGAAGATTTTACAAAAAAGAGTTAATTTGGATTTAGTTTAAAATTTGAGAAAAGCTTTGAGACGTAATTACATTAGAGAAATGTTAGGGGGTTTTCATAAAGTCTGGTAATGTGATTTATACTCCTCCAGCTAATTGCCTAGCGGAGTACCTCATACCATTGCGCGCACATTTAACCAGTATTCTCCTTTCTGAGCACCCTGGTCTTTGTACGGGTTAAGATTGTTGGGGATAAAGAAAGTTTTTAGAGTTAGAAAGATAGCATAGTAAAGGTTAAGATTGTAAGGGATAAAGAAAGTTATTAGAGTTAGAAAGATAACATAAAGAAAGGATGTTTGCTCATTTAAGAAACACAGGAACTAGCAAACGCCAAGGCCAAATAAGGACTAATATTTTTAGTGTATGTTTTTTTTCAAACACGAAAACGATAACAAAAAAGATACTAAAAGTCGTATGCATTTATTATCTTTTTATGTTGTAAAGTATGTACGGGTTTTTTGACGAAAAATGACCACAAGCAAATATTTTTGAAAATATTTTTGTATTTTGGAGACTTTATTAATTGCGGTTCTAATTCTGTAAAAAAGTGTTATATAAACCCATAATATAAAAATCTTTATATAGCCACTATATAAATCTTTCTTCAACGAAATTAAAACTATATTATTTTCTCAAGACACATGATTATTCATGGACCAAGTTTTTAAATAAACATGCGGCTAAGTTAAGTTGAGCGATAAATTTTTTTACAGATTTTCCACAATCCATAATGCCTCACTATCGCGCCATCGGATGGCATTTAAATTTAGAAAATAAGATATAATATAATTTAACGCTTTTTTAACTACATGTATGGCCCTAAATGGGCTAGCTCTTGAATACAAATTTGTATTCAAAGGCTAGCCCACATGGGGCCCATTTATAAAGCCCACATAGGGCCCACATGGGCAAACCTATACGAGTTCCAATATTACATGTTCGTTAGGATATATATATATATATATATATATATATATATATATATATATATATATATATATATTCTCCATAAGCTTGCTTCATATGGTGTTTCTGGGAAAGTTTTTGAGATTATCAAATAATTTCTTTCTAACCGGTTTATCTCTTATTTGTCCCTGTATGGAATACTGTTGTCATATTTGGGCTGGTTCTTCTAATGATTTACTTTCTCTTCTTGACAAGGTCCAAAAACGCATTGTAAATGTTGTTGGACCTGGACTATCTGCTAAGCTTGAGCCTCTTTCCCATCGTCGTAAAGTTGCGTCTCTTTCTCTTTTCTACAAATACTATCATGGTCACTGCTTAAAGGAGTTATCATCTCTAGTTCCATCAACTAAAATTCATTCTCGTTTTACTCGTCATTCAGCTAAGTCTCATTCGTTTACTGTATCTGTCCCTGCATGCTCTAAAAACTTTTATTTGTCTAGTTTTTTTTCCCCGCACTTCAATCCTTTGGAACTCTCTCCCATCTTCATGTTTTCCTGACTCATACAACTTTCAATTTTTCAAGTATTCTGTCAACCGTTTCCTTGCTCTATAACTGTTCTTTTTTTTCCTAGTAACTCCCAACTTAATAGTGGTTGCTTGCAGCCTTGTTGGGAGTGAATGCAAATAATATATATATATATATATATATATATATATATATATATATATATATATATATATATATATATATATATATATATATATATATATATATATGTGTGTGTATTAGTTGTGTACAGTTGGATTTTGGTTGGTCACCTGCTGTGCAACTAAGAGTAAAAATTCAGCTAATCTCTATCACTCACCAATGTTTTGAGTCATCCATCACTATCTTTTAATAAAAATTTTGCATTCAGCATAATTCTTGTACAGTTAGGTCATTTTTGCATAGAGTGCTTTAGGTGAACTATAAAATATTTTCACCAACCAAAATAATTATTAAAAACTATTGATAATTTATTCTGCATTAATAACTTCAGTTTTTTCACTTGGTTTAAACGCTTGTTTTACAAATTCTGTTTTTTTTTTTACTCAATAAAGTATTTATAAAAATGAAAATGAAGTTCAGAAGAATACTAAGGACTTAAAGCAAAAAACAAAATTCAAAATGGTTATTATCATAATCATTATAGTTAGCATCATTGTTTTTCATTATGCTGAAACCTCTTTCCAGGTCAGCCAAACTTAAACTATGGCACAATAAAAACAAAATTGGTAAGTTTATTTTCTTTCAGGATATCTACTCCAATAGGATATTTTCATCATCTACTTATTTTATTAAATATTTGTGTATAGTATAATTTATATATAAAAATTAAATATTAAAATTTAAAAGTTGTTAAATCTTTAAATAACTTTGAAATAAATAGTTCGAAGTGAAAGATCAACAAGACAATTTTATGAGATTCAAATAGTTATTTTAAAATAAATTTTATCAAACCACAAGAACATTTTAGTTTCATTAATATTTATCAAACCACATAAACATTTTAGTTTCATTAATATTTATTAATGTTTAAATGTTTATCATTAAAGTTTAACTAAAATATGTCTCAAACATTTTTTTAACTTTACATTTCAATTGCTTTAATAAAAGATGTAATAAAATGTAATAATATTTATATGTGATATATTTTAATTATGTTTCAATTCCTGAATGTTTTACGTTACGTTATTTCTTGTTTGGTTATACTTTTAAATGTTTTACGTTACGTTATTTTTTGGTTGGTTATACTTTTAAATAATTTACGTTATGTTATTTCTTGGCTTGTTATACTTTTAAATGTTTTACGTTACGTTATTTCTTGGTTGGTTCAATACTTTTAGAATTTTTAATAAGTTCTTTAGATTGCTTAAGTATCGTAAGTTATTTTAACTTTTTAATGTACTTTTTTTTTTAACTTTTTTGTTATGTTACTTTTATAGCTTTAAAAGTTGTATTTACCTTTTTTTTAAATTGACCTACAAGTGTGGGTTAATTTTTTTAAAAATATTTTTGTTTACAAAAGTTTTGACAAATGTATTATTGTGTTTTCATTTATCAAATACATAAATAATCAAATATATAAATAATATTGTTAATAAAGGGTAATTCCGCATCAAATCACCCAATATTTAAGAAATTTTGAACCATAGTTTTTAAAAACTTCATTAATTTTTAAAAACTTCTTTGGCTTTTGCATCCTAAAAAGAAAAGTTACTATTTCAGCTAAAAATGTTGAGCAGTTGACAAGATACTGCAATTTTAACATTGACCTGGTTTCCCAAAATGAGCCGATTTTCATAACATTCTTAAAAAACATTTTTCTTAAAAAAAAATTTTTTTTCGACTGTTTTTTTAGTTTTATATATATATATATATATATATATATATATATATATATATATATATATATATATATATATATATATATATATATATATATATTATTAACTTATTTAAGTTTAAGTTCTACTTTCTGAATTTTTTTTTTTTTTTTTTTTTTTTTGCAACATTTGTTTTTGACTGTTTTTTAGAAAGACTGATGAGTCTTTATGGATGAAACACAGTGTTAAATGAAAAAAAATTTTGCTAAGTGATTTTCTTATACTTTATTATTGCTCTGTTTTAATGACCCATTAAATATTTAAAAAAATATATATTTTTTTTATTATGTCAACCTGGTACTCAAATGAAGCGAAATTATATAAAAGTTTCAAAAATAACATTCATTTTGAAAAAATTAATTTTTTTATGTTTTTTAATGATAATTTTTTATTGATAAGTTAATATTTTTTCGAAATGAGTATTATTTTTGAAATTTTTATATAGTTTTGCTTCATTTGAGTACCAGGTTAGCATATTTTTGAAAAACTTTTTTTTGAAAATATTTGGGACCCATTAAATATTCAAGGATCTTGAGGACCCCTTAAAATATTTTTTATTCAAAAAAAAATGTAAATCTAGTGTTTTTGTATTAGATAGAACACTATTAGGGAGAGGGAGCATATATATATATATATATATATATATATATATATATATATATATATATATATATATATATATATATATATATATATATATATATATATATATAAAATTTAAAATTTTTATCAGTCTATAAAGTTGTTTTAACAACAGAAATATCTTAATTATTTTAATGTTTTAATTTAAAATAAGCTATTATTTTTATTATTTTTATTTTTTATCTTTCATGAATAAAAAATAAATTTATAAGTATTTTGTTTGAGTTATTTTAGATTTATTACTTTTTGTATTTCAACAATAATTTTTTTTATATAAGAAAATTTTGATGCTTATTTTATCACAAAAATAAACATTTGTAATCACTTAATTTTTATAAATGTTATTGATTTATAAAAATATAAATCAATAACATTTAATAATAAGTATATGTTATTGATTTATAAAAATATTTTTTAAATTTTACTCAGGATCCAAGCGACAATTTAAAAAGATCAGAGTGTAGAGAAGATACCTATGTTCGTGTTGTTGGTAATATGAAATCATTTAATGATGGTCAAATGAGAAGTGTAATGGCATTTAGTTTAGTGCCTATTAAAGATTTTGATGAAATTTCTTTTCATTTTTTGGATGTTATATATGCTAATTTAAGTCTGAAAAAGGTAATTATGTTTCAACAATTTAAATGAACATTAAAATTTACTATTTTAATTTACAATGAGTTATTTATTAACATTGAAATACTTTTTTTGCAAGAAAATAAATTTGGGTATACTAAATATATAAAGTTCATAGTAATAATCTAATCTTTTATATTTAAAGTCCTAAAAGAGCGTATATTTCATATTTAAATGAATTGCATAACAAATAATATATTGGAATAAGAAAACAAAGAAATTGCAAAAAAGAAAAATTTATCACAAAGGTGTAAAAGGTGTCAACACAATAAGGTTGTGATTAACAATTGCAATCCTCTAGTTATGGTTTCTAAAATAATATTAATTTTGACAACGTTTTACTAGAAACATGGTTATACATAAAATCATGTTTGTTGATTTGTTTGACAAACCTTTTATGTAATTATGTTCATCTCATCACATCTTACATTTCCTTTTCTTTTTTTTTTCCTTTTTTTTTTTCCAAGATTGCATTTTTTTCTATGTTTTAATGTTGTTTAATGAAATTAATGACAAAGATTTCATTTCATATAAAATAATCAAGGCCATGTTACCTTTTACAACAAAGAATTGGTTCATTTGTACCTTATCTTTTTAGTCCATAGTAAATTAATAGTTTTAAAAATTTTGCTTATCTAGCATTTCAATTATAATGAAGTGAGACAACAAAATAACTTCGGCATTTATATCTTGATAATGGTTTAATGATTTTTTTTAATATTAGGAACTCTGATAGATTTTTTTCTCATGCAATTTAATATATGTATGTATGTATGTATATTTAAATTGCAAAAAAAAAAAAAAAAAAAAAATTATAATAAAAACATTTTATTAAAAGAACTATTGAAGTTCTAAATAAAATAATTACATTTAAAACAGCAAAACAAATGTTTCATTGAAATTCTAAATAAAATAATCCAAACATACAAGTGTTTCATAATTTTTTATAGAAGTATTTGATGTGCAAAAGTTATTTGTTGCAATTTAAGCGCTCTCAGAAGTTAGTGCACCTAGAAATGGATTTTTTAATAGGCAGTGTTTATTTAATTGACCACTACTTTATATATATATATATATATATATATATATATATATATATATATATATATATATATATATATATATATATATATATATATATATATATATATATATATATATATATATATATATATATATATTAGAGAGAGAGAGAGAGAGAGAGAGAGAGAGAGAGAGAGAGAGAGAGAGAGTGGACAATAATTGCTGGTCAACTGTCAACAACCTCCAAAATGGTAAAATTGCTATTTAAAAAAAAAAGGTTTGACAAATAATCATGATGTAATTTAAAATGCATATACTAAAATTTCAAAAAGTTATTTAAATTTTGAAAATGTATTTAAAATAGTTGGATTGTTAATGTTTTATTTTTTGCTTATGCTACGTTGATGAATATTATATATGATGTTAACTCTTTCTATTAATTATTTTGCTTCACTTATTTAGATTACTTTTTTTTTAACAGTGGTAAAAATCCTTTTTATTATAAATTATTGAAGTACTCATTTTATTATTATTTTAATAAAAATATTTAAAAAATTATTTTAATAATAATATTATAAAAATTAAAATTAGATGATATATAATAATTGCTCTATTTAAATGTGATTTTTTTTTCTTTTAACTGTACTTAGTCACTTTGTTTTTTGTTTTTTTTAAATCTTTTATTTTCTTGTAAGTTTCTGTCGCAAATTGCAATAAATGAATGAATGATTTATATGTTTAAAATAAATGAATGAATGATTTATATGTTTAAAATTTCTGGGCGTTAGTACTTTTGTTTTTCTATAATAAGATTATTAATATATATATATATATATATATATATATATATATATATATATATATATATATATATATATATATATATATATATATATATATATTGATATTTAGTAAAAATCTGGTTTTATGTAATGTTAGCAGTTTTTATAGTAGTGTTTTATAAAACAATTGTCTTCTTCATATTAAGTATTTAGTTTAAATAGTATCTGCACATGAGAGTTATCAACGTTACTACCGTTAGCAGTTTTTATTCAATTTTTTTATTTATTTTTTTTCGTAGCTTTTCCTGCCATCTACGAAATCATTGCAATAAAAAAATTATTTTAAAATACGTTCAAAATTACCAGTTGCGCATTTGCATTTTCTATCAAACCAATCATTTGAAAATATATTTTAAGTAAAAACTTTGTTTTATGCAACATAAGTAATTGTTATAGTAACATTTCACAAAATGATGTCTTTTAGTTTTAGGTATTAAGTTTAAATTTTTTTTTAAATATTTCATAAAAATTGTTTTGGCATTAAATAAAAAAAAAATTAAATTAAATTTCTTGGATGTTTTCAAACTTCTTTATTCTTGTCATGATAAGAAACCAACACTCTCTGAAGGGGGCATTTGAGCTTGAAAAGGATCTCGTTTCTGCTACAGCATGGGGCTCACAGTGGTTGGTGAACTTTAATTCAGATAAAAATCAATATTTTTCAGCCAATGGTTATTGCAATAATTTAGACCTTCCTATATTTATGAACAGTAATGTACTCAATGAGTCATCTATTCTTCATCTTCTAGGATTAACTCTTACTTTCGATCTTTCTTGGAAACCATATATCAAATCTGTTGCAAAATTAGCATCTGCTAAAGTTGCATTTCTTTATTAAGCTTGACACTTTCTTACTCCGGATTCTATTCTCTATCTCTATAAATCTCAAATCCGTCCTTGTATGGAATACTGTTGCCATATCTGAGGCGGATCTTCTAATGATGCCCTTTTTCTTTTAAACAAGGTGCATAAACGCATTGTAAACATTGTTGGACCTGCTATTGCAGCCATTCAACCATTATCACATCATCGTAATGTTGCTTCTCTTTCTCTTTTCTACAAATACTATAATGGGCACTTTTCTAAAGAGCTAGCGTCTCTTGTGCCATCTACTAAAATTCATTCTCGTGTTACTCATCATTTAATCAAGTCTCATCCTTTTTCTGTGGCTGTTCCTAAGTACTCTAAAAACTCTTATACCTCTAAATTTTTTCCTTGAACATCGGTTCTTTGGAATTTGCTTCCTTCATCTTGCTTTTTTGATTTATATAATTTACAATCATTTAAGGTGTCTGTCAATTGTTATCTTGTTCTACAATGTTTATCTTTCCTCTTCCATTAACTTCTAATTAGTGGTTGCTTGCAGCTCTAATTAGTATTTGCTTGCAGCCTTTTTGAAGCAAAGATGTTTAAAAAAAAAAAATTGGTTATATGTTAACTGGTCGAGTTGACCGCTTTCTTTCATGTTTTCCATGATGTATACATGGTATACATCATGAAATATATATATATATATATATATATATATATATATATATATATATATATATATATATATAACATATAACATATATATATATATATATATATAACATATAGTTGTAAACATTATGTAGTAATAACTACATAATGTTTACAACTATAGGTTTTATGTGTTCGCAATCATCAGGTAAAAATACAATATTTTTTTATTAAAATATATTTTATTTTTAATATTCAAATTAATTAAAGGTTAAAGCAAATGATAACAGTGAAAAGCTGTTATCATTTGCTTTAAATTTTTGATTTTTCAGTCTTAGAGAAATATTTAGAAATTGATGGTCATTTATTTCCATTGAGTAAGACTTATTTCCTGTTCAAAGTCACTGAGATGTTTTTATTTAGTAGACTGTGTTGTAAAGTGCTTTTCATATAGTTCAATTGTATCATTATGATTACATTAATTGTTTACAAAGGTATAATTGTCTCTTATTATGCTTTCGTTGTTGCAGTTTTCATTCTTTTCATTGTTGCAATTTTAACTTCTGTCAGAAATACTACTACTTTCTCAGACAATTTTTGTATTTAGTATTGGAATTTTTTTTTTTTTTTTTTTTTACTGTATATTAGGGCAATAAAAGTACTACTTGTTGTAATACCTTAAGTCAAATTTATATAACCATAAAAAAATATAATATTGAAAGGTGTACTAAAATTAATGTAAGAATTGTATTACACTCTAATTATGCAGTAAGATATTGGCTTTCCTAAATAAAGCAACTGAAATTTTGGAGTTTGTAAAATAAGAGCTTTAAACACATTACAACAACATGTTTTTGTTGTTAAACAAAATATCAAAATTAATAAAAATTTGGCTGCTGCAGTTATAAAAATTCATATAAAAGTATGGTCAGAAAAATGTTTTAACTTTGTTAACTGTGAATAGATTAATTTAAAAATTCGAAGAGAAAAAGACACTTAACACTTGTTGTCTAGAAACAAATTGTTCAAATGTCAAATTTGCAAAGAAGCATTGCATGCAAGTATTACTGAAAATTCCTAAACAATAATTTGGCCTTGTGGAAATGAAGTGCAAATTTCATGCTGCTCTCTGCAGTGTAGCCACAAATGATCTGAATCTCCATGTTTACCAAATTCAGTTAAAACACATCTGAAGTCTAATGACCATGTACATGTGTTGAATAGATTACTGAAATTAAACAATTGTTTTTTTGAGCAAAGTCATCCTAATAATGAACACTTTTATCTTGATGGCTTTTTTAATGGCCAAAATTGCAGTGTTTAGGGTTGGGAGAACTCACATATGGTTGTTGGAAAGCAAGTACAAACTTGTGTTTTCAGCGCGACTTTTTCACATTTCATAACGCTTAAAACAATTTAACTACTGCTGAGATGTTTCTTGATCACATACACTTTTGTTTCTGTAAAAATTTGCTAAACTAGATTAATTTTGTGGGGTTATTTAGTACATTATAGGAGAAAATTAAATGCTGCATCAACAAAATTCAGCCGCATTCAAAATGGTCTTAAAAAGTATTTTCACAATAGGGTGCATATGTGTCATTCAAGCCACAATGGCATTTGCACATGGCGTTATTCCATAAATATCAAATAATGTTAATATCATAAAATATGATATTAATATTATATCTAAAAATTAAATACTATTTTTTTTTTTTTTTAAATTTAAATTTAAATCTTGAATTGATTTTGATACACCCTGTAATTTATTACATAATTACTTGTTTAAAAGTATTGTAAACAAAATTACTTTTTGACAATATTTTAGTATCCACTGTAAAGGAATAATGAATGAAAGGAATTGCATATTATTTAATTTATATTAGTTAAAGCATCTGTATTTTAATTATGCAGTTGTTTAATGTTTAATTGCTGCACAAGTTAATTAAGATATAAATGACATATATATATTTTTAATTAGTTTTATTCTGTATTCTATATTCTTTTATTATTATAATATTATAATATATATATATATATATATATATATATATATATATATATATATATATATATATATATATATATATATATATATATATATATATATATATATATATATATATATATATGTATATATATATATATATATATATATATATATATATATATATATATATATATATATAGTATATATATATATATATATATATATATATATATATATATATATATATATATATATATATATATATATATATATATATATATAATATTCTAAGAAAATAATATTAGGATATAAATAATGATTTTCTCTTAATAATGATTTTGTTAATATATTTGTAGGCACCCAACCTTTCGATTGCAAATAATAATACAGATGCACCCTTGAATAGATTTAGTAATGATCCATTAGGAGGTGGCTTTAATGATGCTGGTTTAACTGGTAACAATAAAGTTGTGTTCAATTACATTTCAGCATGTACAGCTGAGCAAGGAATTAGCATTATGGAGTTAAAACAAAAGACTAAGAATATTGGTGAAGTTCAGTTAAGGTACAAATATTTTTTTATTAAATCTAGATAATAAGCTGGATCTACTTAAAAAGGAGCTTGGATGTTTTCAGTGACATATCCAGAAGTTTTTTGGGCATACCGGTCCATCTGCGCTTTATGGATTTTTTTTTAGCAAATAAAAAATTAATATCTTTGGTTTTTCCAAATACTAGAAATACAAGATTTATTTAAGGCATATTAGAAATTTTATAAATTAATGCATCTTTTGCCCAAGTCTCGATAAATGTCAATTAGCTCTTCATAAGTTTGATTTGTTAAAATTTCTGGGCCAACTAAAGAAATTCACATAAGGTGTTCAAGTGCTATTATACTAAGCTGGTTTCTTTGTTTAGAATGTATTAAGTTTAGCATAGAAAACCCTCTTTCTAAGTTTGTCATGCTAGGTGGTATTTTACAAGGTGGTAATTTGAATAACATCATTATATCATCGTACTGCTCACATACATACTCGGTACAGAAAACAGTATAGATAGCAATGCTTGTTATCAGGTGTTCGTGCTGATATATATTGATGTTACTACTCTTTAACTTGCCTTCTTTTACTAAAGCTTGAATTTTTAGGTTTTTTTTCATTTCAAGGTTAAATAAGATTTCTCTATAATCAGAGAGAAAATGATGGATATCTTCTTTTTTATCTTGAATAGGATTAAACAATGGTGGTGCAATATTTTTTTCCCAGTCAATAACAGCAGGTTTTGCATGACCATAAAATTGAGAAATTTTACTAATGTTAGCTGAAAATTCGTTGGGATCTTGATTTTCACCAGTTGCATTAAATGCATCAAATGCTAAAAATACATCGTCATTAATTCGCATTGTTGCCTCAATTTCCTTTTTTAATCTACTCATAAATGGCAATTTTCTTTTCTTTAAATCTTATCAATTATTTCTGTTGTTGACATCGTGTTATACAAATTATTTTTTCTTAATCGGTGTGCTAGTCCTTGACGCTCTTTAGATATATTAAGAAATTTATTTAAATGAGTTTTAAATAATGGACTTACACTGTTGGCTATATTGTTAAGCTCATTTTTTAAAAGGTCTTCTTTTAAATTTATCTTTGAGTATACTAAGTTTCGCATTTGTAAAAACTTTGCAAATTTATTTAAGGCATGCTATCGGAAAAATCTGCCCACCTTTCTTGATCAAAAAAGGATGTAAGAAAGTTTAAATGTATTTAAATCAATATATTTCTGAAAAATTAAGACTGTAAAGATTACATGTTAATAGGGAAAAAACAAAAAAAAAATTAAGTTTTACAGAAAAATCTGACTTTCTTTTTAATGTCTCCCATAAGTTTCTGGACAGAGTGATTTTTGTACGTTTTAGCAGCGTAATCCCATTTTTTCTTCAAATCTTTAGCTGATTTTACTGTTTTTCCACTTAATTTCAAATTCTTTTTTTTTTTTTTTTTTTGATGGCCCACTATTTTTTAATAGGACGTAATTTGGGACAGTTTAGAGGTTCATCTTTTTCGGAACCAACATCACTCCATTAAATGTAAAACTTTTGAGCATCTTTTGAGTAATATATTGTGGCTAAATCAGGCCAAAGCAATACTGAAGTACTTCTATAAGCTTTAATTAGTCGTTTTATACAAGAAAGACAACTTTTCACGTATTCCAAAGATTTCATTGTGCCCAAACAAACATGAATTGGCGATTTTTTGCTGCAAGAGCAAAGTGACCAAATCATCAATTTTTTTCGACCACTTCCTTGTTTTCTCTGAATAGTTCTCTGTTCTGTAAATCCTTTAAGAACAGTATCTACAGTTTTTCTTGATATTTTACATGATTTCGCCAACTTTCTATTCAATAAAGTTGGATTTTTTAAGTGTTTGTATACAATCAAAAATCTTTGTTTAGTTTGCTCGGTTGACATTTTGAAACTAAATAATATTTTTAATTATTTTTTTCTGCCAAAATGTTTTATTATACAAACACTACCACACACAAAAAAATAATTTCAAAAAACAACTGTTAACTAGCTTTACCACACCGCAAAAGGTGGGCAGATTTTTCCGATAGCATGCCTTATAGGGACTAAAATACCAGCCAGTAAAAGCAAAAAAAGTATATTATCAGGAACATGTAATTGATATATCAACTCCGCCTTGTATTTCTCATTACCAATTTCGTCAAAGCTGTTTCTAACTTTTTTTGAATTTTTGAAACGAGTTGTAAACCATCAGCATTTTGCACTGCATCAAATATTGAGGCCTTTACACTGAAATATTTGAAATATTTCATTGCTTTCCAAACTCCTATAATATTAGCATCAACGCTAACTAGAACATCAAATTTTTTCATTAAGTGTATGCACACAATAGCTAAACAATGACAACAACAGTTAATGTTCATTGAGTGGGGAGAATTTTTTTTTAGCTTAGCTTGTAGACTATTACGCACCCCATTCATTGTGTTAGTTCCATCAAAGCCATGGAATTTTAAAACTAGTTGTATTTGTTCACATAAGGTTTGCACATCTTTTCTTCCAATAACTTGGACTAAACCAAGAAATATTTTTTCAATAGTATGTCACTCATTTGCTAGCAATTTTAAGGTCTAAATCTATATCCTTATTGCCAAGATCTCGAATAAGTTCAACAATATCATTAAAGTTTTCCCAAACTGCCCAGTTATTTTTAGTTACAAAGTGTCATGTCCTTTGTGGATGTACAAAAAGCTTTGCACCTTTAGTTCTCCACGCTTCTCCGATATCCCCATATTCTTTACAAATACTACATAACCAGCCTTGATATTTTGCAGAATAAATAGCAATTGGAAATATTGTTTTCCATTTTGGCTGAGATTAGTGACACATCATGTACATTTCTCCATCTAGTAAATGTTTGTTGATATTAGGGATAACACTTTTGTTTGATTCACAGCCGATAATCAACTGGAATCAACTGCTGATCTACCTCTTCTTGAACTTGTTTTGTGTCTTGTTTTGTAGTTTGGTTAACAGCAAATGCTTCAAAAATTGACTTTTGTCCAGATTTTGGATTTTTATTTTTACTGTGTAAAGATCTGTGTGTGGATGAATTTTTGTTGTGGCTTCTAGAAGATGTCTTTGGTCGACCTATATATAATTTAAACGTATTATATAAACTTTCGAAAACAAGTTTCAGTAAATTAAAGTTTAAAAAAACATAAAATGCAGAGTAATAGCATAGCAAAGTCATTAATTCATTCATAACACAAGCATAGCAAGGTCATTAATTCATTCATAATTTAGTCATAGCAAGGTCATTAATTCATTCATAATTCATTTTTTTTCTTCTACTCTTACTTATTAAATCAAGTTTTTTTGCATGTTTATTTTATTACGTTTTAAAAAGTTTTATTTTATTAATCAAAACAATTTGTTTACATTTTCACTGAAATTTTACTATTATTTAAAATAAAAAAGTTTAAAGCTTATAGAGTTTTATCACATTGTAAATTATAGGTATAAAAACATTAGCAGAGGAGAAACTCATTTTAAGTATATTTTGAAACAAGTTGTGTTTTATTTAAAAGAATTATAAAAATATAAAATGCTAAGCGTTTCTTATTTTTATCAAATCAAAACGTGCATTTTACATTTTAATCCAGTAGTAACATTCCATAACTTATCCGCATGAATTCGAATCAAGCATTCCAATTGACATTTTTAATCAGTTTTAAAATTTTGCTTTTTCTAAACGACATTAAAAACAATTTTGTAATTATGATAACGAATTTTAATATTACAAAATAACAACACAATAAGTAATAATTTTTTGATTTGATTTTTTTATCACAAACTTGATGCTAATTCAAAAGTTTTGAATTGAATTGGGGCTGAAATTTGGGGCCCCATACCGGTATACCGTATCAAAATCGGCCTGGATACGTCGCTGGTTTTATTTTTTAAATTGTTTCAAGTCAGACCAGACATTATAATAAATTCAGACATTTTTAAGATTTTTTTATTTTATGTCTTATGCTTTTACTTTATGTCTTATGTCATGTTTTATTCAAGTCAATCTATGCTTTTTCTAAGTCTCTAATGACTTTAAATGTGACTAAAGTAACTATTTAGTAAAATTCACCAGACTTATTTGCTCTTTCTGAGACTAATTAGAATTGTTTCATCTTCAGATTTGATGGCTATTATCCTTTGATTTACAAAGACTCCAATAGCCACATCTTGGCCTGGGCATATACTTAATCATCCTTTTACCTATCTACTGAAGTAAGGTTTGAATCCTCTAACTTCTTTATCATTCTCCTTCTCAAGCCTGCACTCTTTTAGATTTCTGATTCAAGTTAACCAAGCTCTTTTTTTTTTATCCCTCAGCTAATATTGTTGTTATTGGTGGCTTTAATGCTCATCACACTTAATGGCTTGTTTTCATCAATCTGGGAATAAAAATATTTCATGCTTTTACTGAACAAAAGCGATAACAAAAAAACTAGTCATACTATACTGTAAACTCTTTTTTTAAAAATTTAAAAAAAAAATTTTACACCATGTTTTTGTTGAATTGTATGATTTTGATCAATGTTGAAAACCATTTTTCAAAATTAAAATTAATAATATATTGTCATCATAACCAGTTATATCAAAGCACACCCAGTAGTTTCTTGATGATGACTCTTAAAATAAGTTGAAGATGAGGTACTTTAAAGTTTTATCGAGAAGATAAAAAAATGCAAACCATTTTTTACTAGCTTTACTGCATAACAACTTTATGTGCCCACCAAAGTTTAAATCCCTACCTATAGTAACCCCAAGTAGTTTTACTTATCAGAGGAAATTTTTTTTAAACTTCTTATTTTGAGAAAATGGTTTTTTTTAATATTTTAAATCAACTGATTCTAGCTGGAAATTGTCTAGGTTTGCAACCATAGTAACCAATTCGTTTAGAATTTATCTTAAACCAAACGATGGTATTATTAGTTTCTTTTTGCAAATGATAAAGAACTCTTTCCACACTATTATCAAAAGTGTAGAAAGTGTTGTTATCAGCATACGATTTCATTTATTATTAATATCATATGCTATTGTTTGTTTTTTATTGTAAAATTTAACATATAAAAATTGTAATTTTTGTATACAATTTTATCTTTTCTATTTTCGAGTCAATTTAAATATCTATTTATTCTTTTTCAACTTTTTTTTTTTTGAAACTATAATTGTTTCTTGATTTTTTATTTATTGTAAATTTGATGTAAACTACAAGCTTTGTACTTGGGATCTTGTACAGTAGGTACCAACAATGTTTGGTATTAGGTTGCTTTAAGCTAGAATAGATTTAAATGTTTTAATTGTATGAGTTCATCTAATTATATGGCTTTTATGTAAAACTACCCAATTTTTCAGAACTCAAAGATGTCCTTTTCACCTTTAAAAAGTATGTACGTTTTTTGAAATATCCTCTAACACCCCCCCCCCCCCCCCTATCAAACTTTTTTTAATAAAAAAGTTTATGGAAAAACAAAGGTGGAGGTACTATAGATACTTTATACGACCCAAAAGCTCTTTGTTTGCGGCACAGGATCCCAATTTAAAAAACGTCTTCAAATATATATGCAAATATTAATTTTAATAAAGTTAAATTACACGGTAACAATGTGTTTGCCCGGTTGAGCGGTTAATGCTGTAAACTGCGGCGACGGTGTTCGATCCCCGGTCGAGTCATACTATGCTTTTTTTTTATTTTAATGACGAATCAAAAAAAAAAAAATTATACTTAAGGCGGAGAAAGTAGGCAGAAAAGTTTGTGCCCTTTTGCTAGTTTAAAGAGCTTTTTATTTTAGCAAAACCTAGCGATAAAATTTGGGAGATTTAGAGACCCAAATGACCCTTTTTTTAGGGAGGTCTTCGACCCATTAGTCACGGCACTGGTTAAACCTGTTTTTTGTCGACTCAAAAAATAGGTTGCCTGAAAAACGCCGTACCTAGGACCAGTATATAAGGGGTGACATGTGTGCATGGGCGCCCACAGGATTTTTTGATGTTTTAGATAGGACACTTTCATACATTTGGCATAGGTATACTTAAGTTTGGAGCTTGCGCAAGCTCCAAACATAAGTATGGCTATGCCAAATGTGTGAAATTTGTGTAAGCTCTAAAACTAATATTTATACTAAAAGTATAACTATTCCAAATGAAGAGACCATGCAATAAATTGGGATGGCGGAGGCGTAGGAACAAAAAAGCCCTAAAACGCTTGCCTCCCCTTTGCCTCCTCCTCCCTCGCCCAAGTGTGAGGGCGCTAATTTAGTAAAATTTCAACTTTACCATTTAAAACTAAATTTAAATTTATCGACAGATTTGAAATTGCGTAGAAAAATATTGTAAATTACAAAAGTTGACCATACAAAATTTACGCATTTTTTGATGTTCCAGATAGTGTCCTATCTGGAACATCAAAAAATCCTGTGGGATTTTTTGATGTCCACAAACTATGCCATCTACTTCCTATACCAAACATCTTTTTATGTTGGTAAACTAGGATCTTTAGTCAGAATTTTAACTTTTCTTTTGATTAGCTGGTTAATTGTGATAAATTAGAAAATCGATGTACGTACTATTATATTGAACCCTCCCCCGAACGCTTTCGTATGCTTTTTGAAGACCTCCCCCCCTCCCCTCCCCCTCCCATTCTATGAGCGTACGTACTTTATGGACGACCCCTAACGAATTATACGTAAAAAGAATTTCGGGAATCGGGAAGACTTGCAACTTAGATTTTGTAAATTATAGTTTTATGGTCGAATAAAGGTACTCCCGCTTAAATCAATTTTTCTTTAAAAAGTTGATAGTCGTTGGTGCCTATTGTGCAAACTTATTTTTTTATTTAAAATTTAAAATAAGAGAACTTAAAATAAATTGATTTAGCGTATTAAACATTTTTATGTGGCATTTTTTTTAGAAATAGTTTAGAATGGTTAAGCAATGAAGGGCATATTTATTCCACAATCGACGATGATCATTTTCGTTCTACTTCAAATTGATCTCTTATCTTATTTAAAAAAATTAATCGCCCTGATTTAAATATACATTTACTGTGCGTTTACTATTAAACTTCTTATTCGTCAACCACAACCCTAACGAATTTACAACTGTTGGTTGGAGAAAATGTGGCTGAAAAAGAAAACAGTATGCCTGGTACCAAAAAATGTACACGCTTTGAGAAAATTACATATAGCGCTTTATAAGGCATTTGTATAAGTACATTATTTCTACTTAAAGTAAATTTTTTTTGTTATAACATGTTTTAATCTTGTAAAATTAATACTATAAAGAATAACAAAATAAACTTTCTTGATCATTTCATTTTTTTACATTTCTTTGAAAATTTAATCAAGAAACAAAACGGTGCGTGGCCTAAATCAAAAGTGTATACATAATAGTATAATAGTTGTATAGTAAGTTTTATCACATTTAGAAAATAGTACAACATGGGTTAAGTAACAAAAACAGCGTATAATAGTTGTATAGTTAGGTTTTATCACATTTAGAAAATAGTACAACACGGGTTAAGTAAACAAAAACAGCGTTGATAGTTAATCAAGTCTTTATAATAGTGCGCGGGGAATGTGTCAATCGCAGATAGCCTGAAGTTTGTCTGGTCTGGTTGAGTTATAGTTGGGGGGCATCCATAAAGTAAAAACGCTGTAAAACCACTGATTTAGGACGCTTCCTCCATTATATTATGCACCTGTATGCTTTAAATGATCCCCCTCCATTTTGATTTAGGTCAAAAAAGGTTGAACTAATTGGATTTTAGTTATTTACAGAAGTTTTGTTGTTTGAGCACGCAAAATAAAGTTTCAAGTTTTAAACATAGTTTTTGAAAGTTTCAAATTCTATTAAACTTAAATTGAAAAGATACATTTAAAACATTTCATCAGTTAATTTTCAATTGTAAATTCCACTTCTCCACTATGAGTCGCTTTAATACAAAATGAGGAAATAGGCTCATAAATGAGGAAGCATTCAACATATTGAGCTGATTTTTTCACAACATATCGAATTTTTGTTTATACTTTAAAAAAATATATCCGCTTTTTAAAAAAAAAAACAGTTTACTGTATTTTTTTTCGGTTTATCCGGGCTAATTTCGGGCCATTCCGGAAAATTACATAATTTAGCGGATATTTTTATTCAAAAAACAGTAGGGAGATATAAATCTATGCATACCTGTTTATATTGTATCCATAAGTGTGAAATAGTAAATCGCCTTCTTTTTGTTTACGCTCACTCTACTTGATAATTTGATTACCCTGTTTAATCAGATATTTTTATTAATTGCTGTTTCTCCTCATATGTCCTAATATATATATATATATATATATATATATATATATATATATATATATATATATATATATATATATATATATATATATATATATATATATATATATATATATATATATATATATAATATATATATATATATGTATAGAAGTTTAATATTCGTAGCTTATTTAACAATAATAATAACAACTTTTATATAAAACATATTATACTCTCAAGAGATATTTAATTTGTTGATTTTTGATGTTTTATATTTATTTACAGGCCCGTACCGTGGGGGGGGCGTTAGGTGCGATCGACGTCCCTTTTTATGCAAAGTGCCTTTTTTAATTTGACGCCAAACATTATTTCTAGACTCATTTCGATGTCAAAATTTTCATGATAATTATTTGATTTTTATAAATCATTCTCTTGAAACAATTTTTACTTTATTGTTTCACAAACGTCATTACAAGTCATTGCATTGTGAAATCTTTTGTAAACGAAAAATGAAAAATAATCTCTCCAGAGTTTATACTGTAATTACAATTCTCTTCTAATATTATTTCACTTTTAAAAGCAAACGATAGAGTTAACATGCCTAACTAAATTAGGAAACGAGCAGCTGATAGAAGAGAGCTTCAAAGAAATGCATATCGTTAACTTATTCGTTATATCGTTATCGTTTTAAGTAAAAAAGTTATTTTGATCTTCTTTTTATAATAATTAGTTTGATATTAACTAGATATAGATATCAACTAGATATAAATATAGATATTATCTATACGATAAATTTTTTTATGATAGTACTTTTGTTATTATTTGTTTTTATTGTGATATTTACGCGAGCTTTTTTAGTTTAAGATCTGAAAGTTTATTATTAATTAGTTTTTTTTTTGTTTTTTTTAATATATATTTGCTGTTTATATAATAAGAAATATAAATACAAAGAAACGTTTACATACAAAAAAAAGTGAATTTATAATAAACAGGCAGGGGCTCAAAGAAGATACGGATGACTAAAGTCGCCACAATCTTTTCATAGAGCTCCTAGGTGGGCTTTACAAGTTAAAAAAAATAGTATCTCCAATATAATAAAAAGGTTAAAGCTTGCATAAATATTTCCATTAAATCAAGAAAGTAAATAACATCATATAGTTTTATCAATGTTTTTTAAAATATATTGGCAACTCTGTTAAGTATCAAAATAAGAGCCAATTGACAAGTAAAAAAACTAAGAATAATGGAACTCGTTTTTCATTTCGAAAAATCAAGAAAACTATTTATCTAATTTAAAAATTTCATTTTTTATTATAAACTTAAAGGAATTTAATGATTTTAAAGTATTTAAATTTTTTGTTTTTTGAAAAGTGTTGCATAGTTTTGGTCCACGGTATGATATTCATAATACTTCATTCCATATTCAGAATACTTACTATTAATTCTTGGTAGTTACGTTTCAAATGTTTTTTAAATCAACAGTTCTCAAAATGTAACCGATGAAACATTACCCTGAGTAGAAGAAAAAGAGGAAGCCATTAAAGATGATAATAATGTTTACAAAACCTTGTCATGCAAAGTAGACCAAGCAAGGTTAAAAGAATGTGATTTTAAAGAAGAAGAAAAACGATATGATATTGACAAACTCTTGCGCGGAAATCAAGAATTATCACCACATGAAATATACATAATGTTTACGAATAACTTGAAACAGAAGACACATTTTCAATTTCCCAAAATATTAAAACATGGTTGCAAACGCGCTTGTAAAGAATAATATTTACAAAATGATTTGTCTACAGCAAAAGTGAAAACGCAGTCTATTGCATATACTGCACTTTGTTTCTAAAGCAGGATAAAAAAAAAATTTCGGGAACTTTTGTTAACCGTGGGTATAGGGAATGGCACAATTTTTAAGAGAAACAAAAACTTCATAAAGGCAATAGATACCATAAAGAAGCTACCGAACAAGCTAATGGCATTTGTTGTCGTTTCGAAGATCCAAGACAAAAAAAATATTCCATTATAAAGCGATAGCACTTTAAAAAACCAACAACAAATGTACCCGTACATTGTTAAAACATTAGGTAGAATAGTACATTTGATGGGGAAAAAAGGACTTGCATTTCGTGGAACTTATAAAAAGTGTATGGAAAACTCAGACCAAAAAGGTAATCCTGGAAACTTTCTTGCAATTGTGCAAGAAATAACTCGCCATAACGCTGAACTTAATGCACATATACAAACGCAAAGATTACGCCATTATGCAAAGATGTCAGTTACCTTGGCCCCAAGATTTAAAATGAATTAATTGATATAATTGGAAAGAAATATATACAAGAGCGGCTAATTAATGAAATCAAAGCTGCAAAATACCATTCAATTTCAGCAGACGAGGTAACAACTGCAAACCAACAAATTTTATCAGTATGTATGAGATATATAAACGGAGAAAAAGAAATTAGAGAAGTATTTTTTGACTTTTTAAATCATGACAGGATAACAGGCAAACATAATGGAGAAAGCTTGATGAAATTTTATATCAAAAGTGGAATTGATCTTAGTTCTTGTCGAGGCCAGTGTTACAATGGCGCATCAAACATGCAATCTGTAAAAAAAGGTGTTGCCAACTATATTTTAAAAGGATCACCAAAAGCAATTCTAACAAATTGTAGCTCACATAATTTGAATTTATCAATTGCTGCAACATCAAAAATATCAATGATTGAAAACATTTTGGAGGTATACAGAAATATATCCATTTATTTCAATACTTCTCCGAAAAAAGAGCGCTTGCTGGAGCATGTTGTAGAGATCCGTTGTAAATCAACTGAAGGAAAAAAGATTTTGATAGGAATGTGCAAAACAAGATGGTCAGAAAGAGATGCCGCGTATGAACATATTTATTTAGCTATACCATTTATGGCAGAGACATTAGAGATTATTTTAGGAATACACTCTAATACAGAACAGTTCAATATAGAGTTTAGTATGGATTGGGACACACAAGGAAAAAGAGAGGCCAACTCACTCCTTAAAACACTCACTAAATTCGAATTCATAATTGGTATTATAAATTTATACCGCTTACTTCACCCGTTGTCGTATATAACAGAGAGGTTACAAGGACACACAACTGATATTATGTATGAATACAGTAACATTCAAGAAACAGTCGACGATTTGAAACATCTACGGAAAAATGTTGAAAAAGAAACTTACGTTATTTACCAACAAGCTACTATGGCAAGTAAATTATTTGTAGAACCAATGATTCCCAGAATCACTATGAGAGAGGCCTACAGAAATAATATACTTGCGGAGATATCGAGAAAAGGTATAATCACGCCTTGATTATACCTTTTCTCGATATCTTCATTTCAGAAATCAAAATACGATTCCAAAAAACAAATTTCATTGCTGGTAAGGTTTTATTCTTGGTTTCCTCGATAATTTGCAGTGAGAAGATGACTGCTTTCCAGAAGTTAGTTTAAATGTATAGTGATCTTCCATACTCAAAAGCTGTAGATCAAAAATTCATGTTTTGGAAAAGAAAATGGTCTGTTATTAAATCTGAAGATAGGCCTAATACTCTAGCTAAAGCCATTAAAATCTGCAATAAAAATCAATATCCTAATCTCCTTCAACTCCTAAAGATCGGATGTACACTACCCGTAACGTCCGCAGAATGTGAACGCAGCTTTTAAGTGATGTGAAGATTAAGAACATGGTTGAGAGCCAGTATGACTGCAGATAGACTTGGTTCATTAGCCATCATGAATATCCACTATAATGAAATTGTTGATTATAAACAAGTCTCAAAATTATTTTTTACTTTACATCCTAGAAAATTGTATGAAAAAAGTTTAGTTTTTAAATAAAATTTTAAACCATTTAACAAAGTATTATTAATCTTTGTATCGATACCCATTTTCTAGCAAGGAGCTTTCATATATGTATATGCAGTATAAAAATAGAAAAAATATTCGGAGAACAATAAATTTGTTTATGTAAACATTGC